TTATATAATCATTAAAATTAATTAAATTCTGAATATTTCAATTGTAGAATCTTTTTAAATATCAAAAATTACTTAGAAATGATTACTATGATTTCTATTTAAGTGTTCTATTACGATAAAAATGCAAAAAATAATGAGTTTTTCTGATAAATTTACAATAAATAGTAATTATAAAACTTTCTGACTGCATATTAATCTTAAAAATAACATTGTTTTAATTCTCATAAAATTTTCTATTTAATGATTCATTCTAGTCAACGAAGGAGTAATTTTGGAGAATAGCAGAAAAAATTCCCAACAAACTTTTTTTTTTTTTGTTTTAATTAGGCAATTGGTGGATTATTCCAAAAGCAACATCAACTCTTATTTCTTTAATTATATCATGATTAGTAGTTCTTTGATTTTAAAATATAATATTTGAATATATACTAATTATAATTATTAAATTTAGTATGAAATTGATATTTAATATTGTAATTTAAACGGAGAAATTATAAAAATAATAAAGAAGTTATATTTTGCTTTACTTTTACGTGTATAAAAATTTAAAGGGCTTGATACAATAATTTTCAATAAAAACTGTTTGTTACTATAAAAAAATGCACTGGACTACAAGGAACTTTCATCAGAAGCAAAAATATACTTTTCTAAATCAACTTTTCGCGTTGTTTTCAAATCTGCAAGTAGACTATTTCTATCACTTCTAATTTTTTATATTATTACTAATTATATATATAAAATAATAATTAAAAGAAAAAAAAATTTGTTTTCAAATTATTACTGATTTGATTTTTAATATGTTAAAAATAATCAGTCCAAATTTTCAATTTTAACCTATTTTTTTGGTTCTTTAAAGTTGATGAAAAATTTTTGATAAAGATTTATGAAAGTTTATAGTAAAATAAATTGAATATATTACCATAACTTTTAGCTCAATTACAAGTTTAAAATTGACATCTAGGCCAGTCAACAAAGGAAAAATTGCGGAAAAAATTTTCAAAAAAATTTTGTTTTTTTAAAAATTGAATTAAAATATGTATAATGACATACTAATAGTCCTCAAGATTGGAATTCAGCTTTTTTTTTAA